TAAATAGCTGTTGTCTACTTCTAGTTGCCTAGCTAGACTGCTTTTAGCTATTCTTGTCTCTCTAAACCTATAATAACTGCTCTAGTAGATATTTAGCTTATTATAAACTTTATCTTATTAAAGTTATATATGTTATTATTCTAAATACTATACTTAGCTTTAATATTTTTTATAAAGTTAAACTAGCCTTAAATTACTATAAAATTCTTATAAAAAGCTTTTTTATAGTTATACTTACACTTAAACTTTACTTTAAGCTCTAAGTAACACTTAATAAACATATTAAGCTAGTTTATACTAACATAGCTTATATTATGCTTAGTGTGTAAAGAATTAGCTATATTAGCTATAGCTACTAGCTAGAGGGGAAATCCTTATGTATCTAGCTTAAGTATGTGCTAAATAATTACCTACTTTTTATTATTATCTAGCTTTTATAAGTTAGCTATATAATTAGCTTAGAAAAGTTATTTAGCATGTTAGTTACTTATTATTTTTTAAAAGACTTTATAAATAGCTGCAGCGTGTTACTTAAAAAGTGTTATATTTTATTTAAAAGCTTAAAGTGTAAGCTGCATATAATATTTCTTTAACACATTTAAGTAGTGTTGTTAGAAATGCATTAGTATAGGAAGAGTAGTGTAGTAGGGTCTTAGCAAAAGTAAGCAACTTAGGTGTGTAAGCAACTCGCCCGTGAAGTACGTTAGTAGTACTTACATATGTTAAATAAATGTTAAATGTAGGTTATACTTTAGGCTTTTAAATAAAATATAACACTTTTAAAGTAATATACTATAGCTATACATAAGGTGTTTTAAAAAGTAATAAATAACTAGTATACTAAATAACTTTTATAAGCTAATTTTATAGCTAACTTATAAAAGCTAAATAATAATAAAAAGTAAATAATTATTAAGCTTATACCTAAGCTAGATTTATAAGGATTTTCCTTTTAGCTAGTAGCTATAGCTAATATAGCTAATTCTTTACACGCTAAGCATAATCTAAGCTACGTTAGCCTAAACTAGCTTAGTGTATTAATAAAGTGTTACCTAGAGCCTAAAGTAAAGTTTAAGTCTAAGTATAACTATAAAAAAGCTTTTTATAAGAATCTTAAAGTAATTTCAAGTTAGTTTAGCCTTATAAAGAATATTAAAGCTAAGTATAGCATCTAGAATAGTAACGCATATAAATTTAATAAAATAAGCTTTATTAAGCTAGATATTTACTAACTATACTTATACATAAAACTTTACTTTTAGCTTTAGATAACACTTTATAAACATACTAGGCTAGTTTATGCTAACATAGCGTAGATTATGCTTAGCGTGTAAAGAATTAGCTATATTAGCTATAGCTGCTAGCTAAGAGAAAAATCCTTATACATCTAGCTTAAGTATATGCTCTATAATTACCTGCTTTTTTATATTGTCTAGCCTTTATAAGTTACCTGTAAATTTAGCTTATAACAGTTATTTAGTATATTAGTTATTTATTATTTTTTTAAAAAACCTTATATATAGCTATAGTATATTACTTTAAAAGTGTTAACGTACCTAACAGGTTAGCCGGCCACACAGGTTGGCCGGCCACTTTTGCTAAGCCCCTACTAAAACCACCCTATTCTAGCGCAAAACCGCCTACTTTAGCCCTATATAAAGTAATATAACATAAGATATTATTTAGAGTCTACTTCTACTACTTTTTTACACATACGCAAGTTATGCCTAGTTTAATTGCACTACTTATATTACCTTTAACTTAGCTTACCTTTTTTAGCGCGCACCTACGTCTTTAGCTTCTGTAACGATTCTCGTTCCATCTCGGGTCGCCCGGAACCCATCCGAAGGGTCGCCGTATCGGCTCCGACCCTGGCTCGACCCTGACTCGACCTGGCCCCGACTCTGCCCTGCCCCCTGCTGTTACCCCTATTCCCTCATGTATTTAGTCGCACCTCGCCCCGTAGCTAGCTTGGTAGTTTTCTGATATCCTACGTACAAGGCCTATAGGTGTCAATGGCATTCCCAGGTTCAGAGTCCCCACGCACTCCCATATGCCTCTGAGTGGATTCATACCGCATTCGGACCCATTGTCTTGCCTGCGCCGTTACAGCTTCTTTCTATTACTACACACTCTAAACTTTTTAAAGCAGTTAAATAAGCTCTATTTTTAACTATTAAAGTTTTTTTTACCTAAATCTACTTTTTTTTATGCAATTTATATTATGTAGCAGCCTTATTTACTGCTTAAAGCTTTATAATCTTCTTTTACGCTAACACTAGCTTATGCGTAATAATTAATGCCCTCTTTAAGACCTTTTTAAAAGGTTTTACTATAAATGTTAGTAAGCTATCTATATGCTTTTAAATTTTTACTTTTATAAGCATTAATTATAACTTAAATTTAAAAGTATTAGTTACTTAAAGTTTATAACTACTAGGGCTTATTATTAATAAGTAGTAGTAGTAATAAAGTATATAACTAAATATTAAGGGCTATTTTAACTTATTTTAAGTTAAATAAGACTAAACTAGCGCCTTAAAACCCTTCTTAGATATTACTAAAAGTAATTACTGCATTATAGGCGTGTATAAAGCATAGTAGAAACTTAAGTTTTATAATATAAGTAATCTAGTTACACATAAAATTTTTAGCTTAGCACTTATACACCTTCTTTAAAGAGGCAAAATAACCTACATTAAAAGGCTGTAGAAAGTGTAATAAGTATAAAAGCATATAAATAGTAATAATTTTATTTTTTTTATAGTACTGCTAGAAATTAAGCGAGTTATAGCTTTTATAGCTGTTAATAATAAAAAGCTAATAAGCGCTTATAACTTTTTTTTTATATGCTTATTAGAGTGCTTTAACTACTGTAGCCTAAGCTTATTTATTATCTAGCTGTTTTTAAAGACTATAATAACTTAGTTTTAAAGCAGATTCTTCTTTTTATACTAAGCAGAAAAGTAATAGCAGCCTTTAAAAATAATAAAAAGTAAAATAGCCTACTTTATTATATTAATGCTTTAGATAACTATTATTTACTTTTTATTACTTTACTATATTACCTTTAGCTGTTTTTATTTCTCTAAAGCTATAATAACTGCTCTAGTTAATATCTAGCTTATTATAAAGCTTAACTTATTAAAGTTATATGTGTTTTTATTTTAAATACTATACTTAGCTTTTATGTTAGCTACTAAGTAAAACTAGCTTTAAATAACTTTTAGATCTTTATAAAGCACTTTTTTATAATTATACTTATAATTAAACTTTATTATAAACTTAGAGTAGTGCTTAACCTACATACTAGGCTAGTTTAAGCTAACCTAGCCTAGATTACGCTCTACGCGCAAGGAATTAGCTATATTAGCTATAGCTGCAAGCCTAAGAAAAAATCTATATATAATAAGCTTAAGTATGTACTTAACAACAACTTTTTTTTTAAGCTTAGTTAGATTTTTTAATTTAAGCTAGCATTCTGCTTCTAAAGGCTGTCTAGCGTGTTAATTGCTTAGTGTTATGTAAGAGACATTATAAATAGCTGCAGCGTGTTATAAGAAAAGTTTTAAGTCTTATTTAAAAGCCTAAAGAGTAAGCTATATTTAATGTTTTTTAGAAGATTTAATCTAGTGTTGTTGTTAAGGCATTATGTAGATAGGTAGAGTGTGGTAGGGGCTTAGCAAAAGTGGCCAGCCAACCTGTGTGGCCGGCTAACCTGTTAGGTACGTTATGTTTTATTTAAAGGCTGAAAGTGTAAGCTATATCTAATTTTTTTTAGCACATCTAAGTAGTGTTGTTAGAAATGCACTAGTGTAAGAAGAGTAGTTTAGTGTGGTCTTAGTAAAAGTAAGTAACTTAGGTGTGTAAGCAACTTGTCTATAGTGTACATTATATAGCGTAAGTTTTAATTTTTAAATATTGTACAAAATAATAGCATTTAGATTTAATTCTTTACTTTCTTATTAACTTTTATAAACTGTTGTTATGCTATTTATCTTATAAATAACAATTTAACTATAACTTTAAAAATTAAAAACTTTCTAATAAGCTAACTTTAAAACTAGATAAGGTGCTTAAGAACTTAGCAAGCCTGTATTAAAGAATTACAATCTTAGATATAAATCCTCTTATAATATAACTATATAATCTATTTTACTACTACATAGTAGAGCAGCGTTTATTTAGCTAGCAAGAATAAAGTAGCTTAAAGTATATAGTCTACGTGAATTGCTACTAGAGTAATTTGTAGTTAATTAATTATATTCTTCTAACGCTTGCTTTTATAATAATTACTAGTAGAAATTGCTCTTCTAATGCTTCTACTACATATTTTAACTTCACCTACTAGTTTAACTTTTTAAGCCTAACATAGCACTAGTAGATAGTAGCATCTTAGTCTTAAGTATCACTGCTTTGTAGCAACTTACTAGTTGAAAAATTACTATTTAATTATTTAACGGTTTATATAAATGTTATAATTTTTCTAAAGGTATCTATATATCTACTTAATTATATAGCTTTTTTAGAAGCTTAGCTCTATTAGCCTAATATATATTAAAGTTAATTTAAAGTTAATTACTTTTACTAACATAGTTATTATTTACAGTATAATAATAAAGAAATACAAATAGCCTTATTAGGCATTTTTACGTCTATAAAACAATAATGCAGCTTTAGTAGATGGGTGTGCAAGAGGCTGAGGGAATTAGGTGTAATGCGGGGTGGAAAATTTCGCGCCCAGTCGAGTTTTGCCTCTTCAACCGTTAACAGTCCGTCACACTTTCCCGACTTACCGAGTGCCCATCGCCTTACTCATGAAATTATTTCTCTTATGCATCACGCTGCTGCTGATCGGGCGTAGATGGATGTTTACACTATCATGCTTGCGGATAACTGAGATGATGGTTCTTCTCTCGCCTATCCCGATACGATCTCGATCGCGCGTCCAAGATAGGTCAGTCGGTCCCTTATCATCACGTCGCCTAAACGATTCATTACTCCTAGTCTGTTATGGGAGAACGAAAAACGACCGGCAGCAGCAAGTCTAGAGAGCACGTTCAAGCATTTCTTCTAGAATTTCAAACTCGATTTCTATCGTGTCGTGTGAAAGGAACTGCAGCGCGGATCCAATGTTATCTCCGAAGGTGCTATTGACCACATCTCTCCAGCATCAAGATCATACTCTATGTCTCTTTTCAATCCAAATTGCGCCTTGACTCAATCATGACGAAGTTCGTGCGTCGAATTTCTTCTCCCTTTTCAGAAGCTCACGGCTTTTCAATTTCAATGCTCTCCTCTTTTGTTTTATCTATTTCTGTCTTCTCAGGATCAGGAGTCGCTTCAGCATCCTGAACTTGTTCAACATCTGCCTTTTTCTCGTCCTTTGTCTTGATGTTCTTCCAATCAACTCCAACGGTTCCGATACTTGCAATACACAGCAAGATCAGTGCGACCAAAAATGGCTGCGACAGAGCGTCATTGTAGGCGACTCTGATTGACCTCAGCGTATTAGGATCTTGTGTCAAGCTGGTGATCTCTGTTGCACCGGTCTTGACAATGCGAGCTGGATCGATGTTGGCAATGTTCTGCAACTTCTGTGCAAGCTTGTTGGCCCATAGATTCTGAGCCACGCTGACAAACACTGCACCACCGAAATTTTCAGCGAAACAGAGAAGTGCTATGCTGCTAGGTATATCGACATTCTTCGAACCTGCTTGGACAGCCACTATCGCTTGTTGGATACCAAGTCCAACACCCACGCCAAACAGAATCTGATATCCAATCAGTCTGCTCGTTGGAGTATCAACGTCCCATGTGTAGATCAGCCCTGCACCAGCCGCTCCTAGTGTGATCGGAGCAAACATGAATGGGTTGTACCAGCCAATTTTGCTAACAAGGAAGCCGCCGCTCATGATGCTCAAGATGATACTAATCATGAACGGTAAAAGGTCAATTCCGGAGTGTACTGCCGAAGCCCCACGAATCGCTTGAAACCAGATTGGAATGAAGTATGCCATGACAAAGAAGGAGGCACTGACGCAAAAGGAGTAAAGAGCAGCGCACATGGTGTGCCGTGAGGTCACAGCTTTGGTATTCAAGGTCGCGTTGTCGCCCATGAAGGGTTGCACTATGGCGAAGCCGAGAAGGAGAACACCAAAAACTACTAACAAGGCGATGATTCTGCCATTACCCCATGGGTATGTTGTCCCGCCCCACTGGAGTGCCGACAAAAGACATATGATTGATGGAGCGAACAAGATCGTGCCGATAGGATCGAACCGGAGGAGGTATTCTTTCCAAGTCTTGCTCTCCTTTGGAGGTGACGCCGGAAGCTGGAGGAAAAAGATCAATATGAAGACTGTAATGCCACCAAGAGGCAGATTGATGTAGAAGCACCATCTCCAAGCTGCGTGGTCGGTCAACGCGCCTCCCAGCAACGGCCCCACTATGCTCGCCACGCCATAGACAGCAGTAATTAGTCCAATGAACAGACCTCGTCGTGCGAGCGGCAGAACTGTCGATATCGTCGTGAGTGCACCGGTGAATATTCCAGAGGCACCCAATCCGGAGATGGCGCGACCAGCGATGAGTGCAGCTGAGGTCGGAGCGACCGCTGAAATCAAAGATCCAATCTCAAACAAAACGACGCAGGCGATGAAGAGCCATTTCATGTTCAAGAAGCTGTAGAGTCTTCCGAAGAACAGCTGAAATCCTGAGACGAATAAGAGGTACGCAGACCCATACCATCCCACATCACCCAAGGAGCCGAAGTGATCCGTGATTCTAGGTATGGCGGTGGCGATGATGGTGTTGTCGACTGCAATACAGAAATTCGTCAGTTGCAAGCTGAGGACGATCATCGTCAGCTTGAATCCCGTCGCATATTGCGCTTTGTCGTCTTCGCCCGCTTTCGGTTCCGGAATTTGGCTCCCACTGGTGGAATCGCTGCCTCCAGCTCGCTCTGTGCTTTGCTCAGTTCCGGTCTTGTTCTAATCTCAGTCGTGGGACATACCGTCAGCATGGTTTGAAGCCTTGGAAGAGACACTATCTCCATTTCGTTCAACGACGTCAATTGCGGGTGCCTCTTTCGTGGTCAAATTGGTAGACATGACGATTTTGGGAAACTCTAACACCGGATTCATACACGGCCTTTCATAGATATTGGAATGCCTTTGCAAGCCTTTCAATCTCTAAGTCTCTTAAACGATCAAGAGATTTGCTTTTGGAGTCAATCACGGGCAAGTGCGAACATAGCTACACTGCTTTAGCACGCCAAAGATCCAGTCACTGCTGCAAGAGCTTGGGGCCACCATCTGTCTTTCCGACCTCACGTAAGAAGTCCAGACTTCATGTAACTAATGAGCAAGTTTCTCCCAATCAGTCTCACCTCAAGACGCTAAGCACGACGCAGTATGTCTTGGGCATTACAAGTCAAGAGCAAGCTTGCAGCTTGGAGGCCAACCCTCAACAGAAAGGTCTTGCAGTAAGAATCTCAGCCTCAATCGGCTATACGAAGAACGACACAAGCTGTGCTGTGTAGCTCTAGCTGTGCATATCTTTGCTTTATCGATCATTGGTAGATAAATGAGCAAGTTTGCGCCATGTCCATCGGTGGGTCTATAGTCAGAGTCTTAGTCTAAGTGAACAGTGAGCAATTTTGAGGTATATCGCTAGCAGTGAGCAAAGGAAAAAGAAAAATAGAACTGCATGTGATAACAATGCAATGTGATATCAGATGCAGACTGCAGATTCCACGACCAGGAAATCTAAGCGAGGCACTTGAAACCTGGTAGGTGGTTCCACAACGGAATGCGAACACCACCGAGTGACGGGTCTCGGACGGTTTGAGCTTGGACCCCGACGGTGTAGACTGCAGGAGCAAACATGCATGAGGGGTAAGTGCAAGTTCATCATGGGGTTCTTGAATCTGCAGGGCAATGCAAAGGGCTACCCGAGCACGAATATTGAGGTAAACAGACTCCGCTTGTAATGAAACTCTGCATATCACTAGAATTAATACTGTCTACACACCGTTCACCAGCCCGTCCCATGCCTGATATCCAGTAGTCTCGCATATCTTGTGAAATGCTCATCCTGCTGCAACATCTTCAGCTCCTCCGGCAGGGTGCCCAGCTCGAGCTCCACGCCGCCATCAGCCCTCAGCGGATGAACGAGGGAGAATCGGAAGCGCCTATGCCCACGCTCAATCTGTGGGCGCACGGCTTCTGGCCTTCCTCCGGCAAATATGCCCTCTCCAAATGAGGAGAGATTGTCTTCCTGTTCCCACAGAATCATGTTAGAAATCATCTCGTTCATGTGCTCGAGACCCATATTCGCAGTCGCTGGCTTGGTGTAGTCCGTCATGGAACGCAACAGTGTGTACGCATCGTGTACTAATGCAGTGTTAACTTTGGCGATTGTTTTGCGAATCAGATATGCAACTTTGGCAAGACTTGTGTTTGGCGAGCACAGCTCTTCCACAGGCATCATCGTGCGACTCATGATGAGCAAGCTGCCCATATAAGTGGACGGCAAATGGCCCGAGAAATAGAGCCTGCCATCGATTGGAATTTCGAGAATGGAAATTTCGTCCGGACCAAAAGTTTGGCCTCGGTGTTCTTTAGCCACGAGATATCTTGCCCTGATGGCTGTTTGCCACAGAAATGCCTGGACAATGTCGCTGATAGAAGGAGTCTGTCCTTTGACTTCAGGGTGGCTATTAACATCACGTTTGAGCTTTTGCAGATTCTCGCGGGAGACCAAAAAGAATGTGCTGGCCAAGGAACGATCAGAAGGAGCCGTTGGCCATTGAGGCTGCCGTCGATAGACTGGTCTTAGATCATTGAGTGAGGCGCCTTTGAGGATTGCTTTGTTCCTGCTTTCCCGTTCTTCAGCACTGTAATCCGGTGGGAAGAATGGCAAGAAGTCCCACACGGTATTATCGACTTCATGGACGGCCTTCACATGTCCCTCATGCTGGTAGAGAATCTCGGGCAGGCTGTGGTTGAAACTTTGAGGATCATACCAATCACACGTTGCTGATTGATCCCCCTGCACGTACCTGCAGCATTCTGCCCAGACCCTTAGAGCTACCATGACGCCCAGTCCATCGAAGCAAGTGTGAATGAAGTTTGTGGCCAAAATGCATCCGCCCTCGATGAAGTTCGCATGAGCAACCATTACGTCGGCGGGCATGCTTGGGAACGGATAGCAATCGAGGACGGTTTTGTCTTCGTAGAGCGGAGGCGGAAATTTGCTGTCTCGCATCGTTGAAAACGATGGAAGGACTTTTGTCATATCCTTGTAGACTAGCTGTCTGGGATTGGAGGTGGTCGCCATTGACGGAGGTGGTATCGTGATGGCGTATTCGCCCTTCTTGTAGCCGAACTCGTGCTCTGAAGCGTGCATCATCTTGCCGTCAAGCTCTGGAATGATCTGGAAAGCACGACACAGACCAGCTTGCAGACGTTCGAAGGCTTGTTGAAAGTTCGAATCAGGAGGCAACGCAAAGAAGAAGGTGAAACCCATGTAATGATTCGGGTTCACTGCATCGAACGGGTTCATCTTGAATCCCGTCCGTCGCTGGTATTCGTGTATCGCATTCTGAAGGCCATCATGTCCATTCGTTAATCCATTGACAGGTTTCATGATAGACTTCTCGGATCCTTGGTCGTTCGGTCCATTGGCTTGCCCGTTGGCTTGTCCATTGGTTAGTCCAGTTGTCTTTGATTCTGCTTGTTGTTGAAGTATTGTCCCAAGCTGTGCTGAGAATTTGGCGAGTGTTGGATTTGCATATAGATGCCTGGGAGCAATCTGCTCCTGTAACCCTGTAGATCCTCGAATGGTTCTGATAGCTTGGAACACAAGAAGAGAATCTAGTCCCATATCGAAGACATCCTCATCTGGACTGGCGTTCTCAATTTCTGGAATTACCGATGTCATAATCCTTTGGACAGACTGCAAGATGGTCTCATCTGAAGTTGTGTCAATTGAATACTCATCGTATTCCTCATTAGCCGGTGCTTCATCTCTTGTAGCATAGAAACGATCGATGAAGTCTGTATAGAGGTCTAGAGTTGCTCGGCGCTTGATTGTTGACTTGTCCGTGCGGATGAAGGGTTTATCTGGCTCTGCAAAGGCAACATAGTCCCTCTGAAACCTGGTCTTTTGGAAACCAGATGAGTTCGCTCGCTCCACCTTCTCCCAGATGCTGTCGAACAATTCGTTGGTTCTGGCCGAGGGGTCTTTCAATTCGATGAGCAACCCGGCCTGCGGTTTACCTTGTCCAATGACAAGGCAGCCCTCGATTGCAGGATGTGTTGTGATCAAGGCCTCTGCGTCCAAAGGCGCAATCTTGTATCCGTTGGACAAGACTACGGCATCATCGCTTCTCCCCGTGTACGCATATAGATATGGCTTGGTGGGATGTCGTTTGTAGAGATCTTTGAGATTGACAGATTGTTGATCCGGAAACGTGTAGAAGACGCCTTGGAATAAATCCCATTGAGGATTTCGATGAACCCAGTGCTCGTAGACGCCTGGCTCGATTTCCTTGAACTCGAATCCTGCGAGAGGATGAAACGCAAACCAATGCCAATCTTCTCGTGTCGGCCATAATACGCCCATGAATAAACCCTCCGTAGTTCCTGTCAGGTTGAGAACTCTGACGACATCATTGACTTTTGTGACAATGCTAGGGCTAACAGGACCTAAAGTCGCGGTTCAAGTTAGCTTTATTATCAACCTTTTCAGCCATCCCTGTGCTGCTTACCACCGGAAACACAAATGAATTTGGCCTCTGTAAATTTTGCCAAAACTGCTGGAGTCTCGCCTAATTCGTCTCCAAGTGATGGAACGAAATGCCAAATATCAATTTTGGCATGATCGAGCAGATTTTCGACCAGCGACATGTTAGGCAGGACTCCTGGAGGACCTAGAACGCAATGAAGCTTGAAGAATGCCGGTACGACAATGTCCATGAGCATACCAGCACCCTGAGGTTTTCAGAAAGTCAGCATTCAATCCGGCTTCTAGTATTACCAGCACGAACTGGCACGAGGTGGGAAAAAGAGAAGTTTACTTACATGACTCATGGGAAATGAAGAGTAAATTGTGTCCCCTTCATTCCAGTTATCAGTCCACGGTTTCAATCCGTGATCCCCATCAGTTGGCGGCAGCAAGCGTACAGCGTCCAATGACCCAATCAACCCATGAGTCCATGAGATCGGTTTTGGAACTCCCGTGGTGCCAGATGTATGTGTGATACAGAATGGCTCGTGCACCGCTTCTTCAAAGGTCTTTGTAAATGGAAATGGTTCGGTAGTCTCTGCATCGAGAAGCTCTTCTAGTGAAGGTAGCTCTAGAATCATCATGGACTTTTGCTTTGTGAAAGCCTCAACCAGAGGAAGCGTTGCTTGTCCGTGTGGTCTGATCCATATGTCGCATTTCGCGGCGTTGAGAACCGCTAAAGCACCCTCAACATTGTTTTTAGGGGACAAAAACAAGGCCTGCAAGGAGAAGCGTAAGTTAACATTTCATGTTTTCGGATTTACCTGCTGCACAACTTACCCCACAATTAGCCTTAAGAGCACCGTAAAGTAACAGAATGTGTCGCAAATCATCTATACTCTGAATTAGCAAGACCAGTTGCCCTCAATATCACCAGTCTAGCTTACGAGGGCCGATGTATCCTATCGGCAAGATCCCCTTGTCGGATCTATCCTGATGTGCACCATTGCCATTTTCTTGAGCATCATTGCGCCCTTTGAGTCGATCATGTAGAAACCAAGCCGTTTTGTCCACTGCTTTTGCAAATGCACCAGCAGTGATCGTTCGGAAGTGGGCAGTCTGATCTGGAAATGAGGCCAACGAGTATATGACGCGATCGGGCTCGGAACGAGCCAGGCTATCCAAGATCTGAGGTATCAGCCTCTTGCCATAGATCTGCGTGTTATCAATAGCCATTGCGGTCTAAGAATGAAAGGATATGTGTGAAATTGATCTTTTAGGCAGTTGACCAGTATGGTCTAAGACTGAAACCTGAAAATGTGATGAGGTTAATAACGATAGCTTATCAAGCCTCCATGGCTTTCGGCGGGATCTAACTTTCAGATTTGCTAATGTCATTAGTTTCTACCTTGCGAGAGCTAGCTCGAGCACTTGAGTCAGATACATGGTTAGCTTGGACTGCCGCAATTGCGATGCAAGAGATATGTGGTATTTTATTGACAACACAGTTGAAAAAAGCTCACTACAAGTCAATACGCAAGGGTCCCGCATGGATCGGCCCCACTCTTCGCTCCAACAGTGGAGCTGCAAAACTGAAGTAATGCGAGCAAGATTTCATATCTGTTCAAGACATAGCCTCCTAACCCACTACTTTCACGCAGCGCAATACGAGTGCCAGCGATCTCTGACGCTATGGATGGAAGGATGCATGTAATCCTTCAGACAGGAATATCAGCACTACGTCTCTAGTCGCTTGCATGGATAAGCGAAGCGAAGGATTGAGCACATTTTTGGTGGAGGCGGCGAGCATTTGAGCTGTATCCGGTCAGGATCTTGAAAATCGCTTTATACTCGCTGACCAAGCCGATCATGCAATGTTTTAGACTTGAATTGAGGTTGCATGTTTGTTACGGTAGAGGACTGTATTCTTACCGCATTCGCGTGGCGGTGGTCTTGGGTCACTCGCGTTATAAAGTCACATACTCGAGCTCAGGGAGCAACTACATAAGTCGTGATCAAGAATGCGAGTGTCCTAGAGGAGGCATTGATCGAATAAGGTCAACATGATTTAGCTCTGAACATCTAAATTCCTCTCTACACTTTACAGTTATGGATCCTGCCCCAGATGCATCGTCGGCGACCAGCAGCCAAGTGCTGAGCGACAAATCGTCCCCCGCCCTCTCCGACAACGAGTCCTCCGATAGCTCGGTTGACAATTCATCACAATCGAACACCATGTCGAAGATGTCTGGAAGCCCAATCAACAATGTACCAGACCCAGAGTTCTCTGAGAAGGACACTATCACCCTTATGTCAACCAGGATTCTGGAAATCATCTTTGACTATGCTCTAAACAAATTCGACGACTGTCGAGACCGACTCGAGGCCGGAAGACCCAGGTTCATAGAAGTGCTTAATGAATTTGTAAGAGCAGGAGCCCAGATCGATATGGCTCTTCCAGCATTTCCCTTCAAATCAGCCAACAAAGTCTACAAAGCTCTGGGTTTTCTGCCCGACAAGGCTGAGGAGATCGCCCTGGCACGGTTACACAACATGTGCAGACGCATTGAGGAGATTTACGAACCAGGTGCCAAAGTTGTCATCATCTCGGATGGGCTTGTCTATAATGGTTTGTTCCACACAAAACACCTGGAGCACGTGCTGACGCGCATTGCCAGACTTATTAAGCATATCTGACAGACATACCTGGCTGTACGGACTGGCTCTGCGAGCAATGGCTGTTGAAAAAGGATTCACCAACATTGGGTTCTCCAGGCTCCGAGACTTTGTTTCTTCCGATTCAGATTTCAAACTGCCAGAATCGTTGGACGAGATCTCTTATGTCGCCAACGCCACGAACTTTCGTCGATTCATCCTCAACAAATTTGGTAAAGATGACTTGGACGTTGATCACCTCATTGCTGTTGATGAAGATACCCGTCTAACGTATCAGGGATATCGAAGATTCTTGATGTCAGATTTGAGGCACATTTTCACCCTTGGAGCAGATCGGACCAGTAATGCGTACAAAAGGGAGACGAAATATCTGGCCAAGCAGATGCTTGTTCGAGGATATGTAAGTAAATAGAGCACGAAAATACGAAGAAGTGGATTGCTGACTATATCATTTGGGACAGGCTTTTGCGGGAGCAATCAAGCACAACTTCCCGCATCATTTGCGGCTCTCTATCCACCAGTCTACCGGGGAGCACAAGGTTTCGATGAGCTTGCTGAACACCAAGACTGGATTCACGACTCCTTGGCATTGTAGTGTCGCTCTGATGGCCGATGGAGAATGGATGAGCGCTCCGATGGGTGATTTCAAGGAGAATCCCAGGATGAAGATCGTTGACGAGAATGGTCGCCCAAGCTACTTCCGAGAAATGACAGAGGAAGAATTTCTAGAAGATCGAAGACAAGCAGAAGAAGCAGCACGGCTTATTGAGAAGCCAGTTGTGAAAGAGCTCCAGAAGCCAGAGAGAAATGAAAACTTTGTTCAGTGGGAAGGGGTGACTTGTGATGTCAAGAATGGCGGCAAGACGAAACGACTTCTGGATCAAGTAGACGGATGGCTTAGGGGCGGAACGTTGACGGCATTGATGGTATGTGTTCCCTAATTCATGCATAGAACCACCTACTGAGCGACTCTTTCAGGGGGTCAGCGGCGCTGGCAAGACTATACTGCTCGATGTATTGGCCAATAGGTCGAATTCAGGTGTCGTCCACGGTGAGATCTTGGTGAATGGCCAGCCTCGGAACATGGCATCCAAGAGTCTATCAGCAACGGTCTATCAGCAAGATCTGCAGTTTTCTACTGCGACGGTCAAGGAGGCATTAATCTTTAGTGCTCTTTTGAGGCAACCAAAGACGAACCCTTGCGTCGAGAAGATTGCCTATGCTGAAGAAGTACTGAACCTCATCGGTATGGAAGCACTTGCCGATACAATTATCGGAGCATCCGGAGAGTGTGAGTCGCCAGATCTCCGGGTCATCGAATACTTACAATTCGACAGATCTGAACAGCGAACAGAGAAAGCGGTTGTCAATTGGAGTTGAGCTTGCTGCCAAACCCACTACCCTGCTCTTGCTCGACCAACCACTTGCAGGTGAATATTATCGGCATAGATAGTAGATACAGTCCACTGACTTGGCACGCTCGATTGTAGGGCTCGACAGTCAAGCTGCTTTCTCCATATGTCAGCTTCTGCGCCAACTTGCACAAAATGGCCTGTCTATCCTTTGCGTCGTCAATCAGCCTTCTGCACGACTTCTCCAGACATTTGATCGACTACTCCTGCTTGGCAAAGGAGGGAGGCAGCTGTATTTTGGTAAGATCGGTCTTTCTTGCAAGACCATGATTAGCTATTTTGAGCGGAACGGAGCCAGGCCATGCAATGCAGATGAGAACCCTGCAGAATGGATGCTTGATGTCACTTCCTCAACCGAAAACTCCAACGAATCACAAGACTCATCAGAGATTTGGAAAAACTCTCCAGAGTGCAAGGCGATGAAGAGCAAGCTTGCTCAGCTGAGGAAAAAGTTCTCAGCAGGAACGGATCTGCTCGACGGCTCTGACACTTCAGATGCGGTTCAGCAGTCAACGCCAGGGTTTGATGCAATGGCCTTGCAGCGTAAGTCAACAATTTCTGCTACAAGACTCTCATCTTGGACTTACAGTGATCTAGGCGCTTTCTACAAATACCATTGCTTGGAAAACATGCAACTGCGGGCTGCGTCTCCTACAGATCCCGTCGTATCTTGGCTCACAAATGGGGCTGTTTTACATCCACCAGCCTATCTTTCATGAAGAGAAAGAAGACAGAGATATCGTTCTGATGTCAGTTCGTTCCTTACGCTTCTATCAACTTGAACACGTGAAAAAATTGTTAGGGAGTGAGGCGTTTAAATGGATTTGACGGTTTAATGTGATGAATTGGTGGGGTTGAGGTTTGATTTTTAACGCAGTGCAGGTAGACTACAGCAGACGATTAAAGGGTAAAGCAATAATACTTAACTAAGAAAATTTTCCTGCACCTTTATACACTCTATATAGTATTAAATTAACCTATAGATCACTTCTATAGCTTAATATAAGCGTAATAACATTATTTTAGCATCTCTAGATAGTGTATAGACTTGTTTTAAAGTGTAGTTATTTGTATATTACAGTACGCGGTTACTCTTCTATTAATCTAGCTTTATATTCGAGAGAGCTTAGTAAGTTTATTAAAAAAAAAGCCTTATAGTAAGTACTAGATTAATGTTGCTACTTAGGTAATATTATATATAGCAGCTTAAAGATTAAAATTTTTAGTAACGTATCTTATAAGCAAGTTAGCTACACAGGCAAGTTAGCTACTCTACTAAGACTCTACTAAAACTACACTCTATTTTAGTTTATATTAGCGCTATTTTAACTTATAAAGTATAATATTATATTATATACTATTCTTGTACTACATTTGCTTTATTTTTACACGTGTAAGTTACATTTTACATTTTCGCACTATTTATAGTATTTTATAAGCTTATGCTTTTATTTGCATACCTTTTATTACTCCACACTTTAACCCTGTTTAGAAATGTTAAGAATAGGCTATCTTTAACTATAAAAGTATTTTTATACTATACTTTTTTATGTTATTTACTGCTTAAATCTTAATAATATGCTTTAACACTAATATAAGTGTATTTATAACTATTACTACACTTCTTAAGACTTTTTTAAAAGCTTTTACAATTTAAGTTAGTAAGCTCTTTATATATCTTTAAATTTTTTTTTATAAAACTAGTGTTAATGAAAACTTATATTTAAAAGTATTAATTAGTGTTTATAACTACCAACGCTTATTATTAATAAGTAATAGTAATAACTGTGTAACTAAACTTTAAAGCTTATTAAAACTTATTTTAAGTTAAATAAAACTTAGCGCTTTAAAACTCTTTTTAAATATTACTAAAATTAATTAAAGTGCGAAAGGCATATATATGTATAGTAGACACTTAACTATTATAATACAAGTACTTTAGTTATATATAATATTTTAGGTTAGCACTTATATACTTTTTTAAAGGTGTAAAACAATCTACATTAAGTAGCTATAAAAAGAAAGACAAGTAAAAAAGAGTATTAAAAGTAATAATACTATTCTATAGTATTATTAGAATTTAAGGTGTTCTAGCTTTATATCGCTGTGAATAATAAGCAGCTAGCACTCTCTAATAGTACACCTTTCGATATAGGTATTAAAAAGCCTTAGCTACTTAAAACTAAGCTTATTTATAATCTAACTGTTGTTAAAGACTATTATAACTTTGTTTTAAAGTATAAAGTTTTTTAATGCTATGTAAAACAGTAGTAGCAGCGTTTAAAAATAATAAAAAGTTAAATAGCTTATTTTATAACGCTAATGCTTTTAATTTTATAAACAAATAGACTATACAAGTAAGTAGTCTACTTTAATAAAATTTTAGCACATTATGTTGTAGTTAACAATATATCTACTAGTTAACTTTTAACACACTAATAAGGAAAGTTAAATACTCTTAGCTTTTTAAGTAATTTAAAAGACTAAATTTCATTTAACTTTCTATAGTAATATATAGATTTTTAAGACTACATGTGCTTAAAGACTTAATAGTAGACTTTTGCAGCATAATTAGAAAGCTAACTTATAAAAATTAACTAATCTAAAAAAGATTACTTATTATAAAGTATATACTTATCTTAGATTTAACTTATAAGAAATTTATTTTTACTTTAAGTTATAGAAGATATAGCTAATAAACTATAAAGTTATTGTCGCATACATTATCCGCCTATATATATTCTTCTGCTGTGCTAGCTAGGGGTTGACCTTTTAGCGACGCAACAGCTATTATAGTCTAAGCTAAGTTAGAATATATTTGTGTAAACTAGAATATAAACTTTATTAAGTGTACTATAAAGCTTAAAACATGTTTTTTTACAAGTATAACTATAAAAAAGCGTAATAGAAGAATTTTATAGTTATATAAAAGAAGTTTACACTTATATATAACACTATTTCTAAGTATCAAATCTATAAGAATAATATTTATAACTTTAATAAAGTAATGTAAATATTATAGATTATATTATTTTATTATTTAATTAACTAATGTTGGTATTGTAAAGTAGAATGTAATTAAAGTATAAAAATATTGTTAGAGTAGACTATTGTCAGATTGAAGCACTGTTTCTGGGCTTCCTGAGATGAATGATGGGTTTGGATATGATGTAT